ATTAAGATCATTATTCGACTTAGTTTCAGCTCAAGATTTTTTGTTAAGCCCCTACCACATGCCAGGCTCTGTGTGAGGCCTGAGAACCCATGGTAAACACGCGTGGTCTCCATCCCACTGAAATACAGTCTAGGGAGCTGATCTGGATGGGATGAAAGGAAGTGAGGGTTGTTACACGTTAGGGTCAGTTACTACAGGAATTTACAGCCTTGTCTCCAAACTGAACAAAAGTGGCCAGTGCTGTATCGGAACCTCCCACCTAAGTTTTCACTCTTTCTGCTTCTGCCGGAACGGTTGCCGGAGGCACCACGCCTGACCTCTGATCAAATCCTTTCCCTCTTAATCCAAGCTGCAAAAAGATAGGAATTTTTTTTAAAGCACTAGGCTTTGAAAAGCGGGAACATGAAGAACCTTCTTCCATTCCTCCTCCCAAAATGAAAGATCACGGAGACCCTCACGTTTACAGAGTTCAGACGCGGTGAGGCGTGACTCCTCCTGGGCTTGGCAGGTACCGCCGCCTCCCCAGCAAACAGCACAGGTTCCTGTTTTTGAGGCAGAGGAGGGTGAGGGGAGCCCCGTCCTCCTCTCTGGTTGTGATGATAAAGATGCTCCAGTTCCCAGACAGATCCCACTGGGCTGGGCCTCCGCCTCCACCCCATTCTCTCTGGCCCTGGCTGGATCAGCATGTGTACTCCATGTCTACTCCAGAGCGAGTCTCCAGCCAAGTTTCCAGAAGAGGAAAACATGTCCTGATAAGGCCCCAGAGATTTAAGCTCTACTCGCAGTGATCTGGCAGGAGACAACCCTCCTCCTTTCCTGGAAGGTGGAGTTCTCTGGCCCTTTATGTCTTGTGTTCTTCGCCCCCTTTTCTGACCTGGTCCCAGGTCACTAGCAGCCAGTTATCCTGAGGGCTGTGTGACCTTGAGCAAGGACATCGTCCTCTTGGGAACTTAGTTAACTGCGTTTATCACGGCTGGCCAGCGCTCTTGCCTCGCCCTTGTTTCCAGCCCATCAACTTTTGTCTGGCAGAGGGCAGCCTACAAGTGAGTTATAAAACCGACAGGCACCAAGCAATGGAAGCAGGTCACTTCTAACATCAGTTTGGTTGGTTTTTCCCAGAGTGTTTCTCATGGATGTCTTTTTTTTGTTACTATCCCTCAATTCTTTAGACTCTTTTTACCATAAATTCACAGTAGTAAAAGCGCAGTAATAAATGCCACCACGTATCCCAGTAAGAGGAAGGTGGCTCTCCCAGTAGACCCCACTGGACTTCCTCTCTTCCTTCCTTCACAAGCATCTGTGAAGCCACTGTTATGAGCCAGTCACTGTGCGCAGTACTAGAGTTACAGGTATGAAGAACTCAGGGACCCTGTCGCCGGGAGCTTCAAGCTAATATGAGAGATCACAGGAGAAAACAATATGAAACATATTCCCACCTTGGCAGTGTTGAGGACTTCGCCTGTGGGGTCTGGGTGAGAAGAGGATGCTTCAAAGAGATGATTTGAAGAACTGAGTCTTAAAGTAGATGCAAGGCAGCCAGCAGAGGGGGAGCAGGAGAGGGTGGAATGGAGAAAAGGTGACCAGTTTGTGCAAAGACCCTTCTGTGGGAAGTGAGTGGTAGAGGATGAGGTTGAAAGCAGTTGCTGTGTGGTGATGGAGCCAGACTTTGGGGTTTGGATTTCATCCTGGGGAACGGTTGAAAGATTTCAAGCAAAGGAGTAACCTGATAAGATAGGATTTTAGAAAAGTTTCTCTAGGCGTGGAGGATGGAGTGAAAGAGCTGGGGATTAGAAGCCAGGTGCTAGTTTTAAAGGCTGGGGCATATTAACACATTTGACACTAAGCTTCTTCCTTCCAACTAGAATCAGGCTTCAGCGTATCGCTTACATTGAATTAGCGTTTTCAAAATGAGACTTTGTTAAATGAAAATAGAAGTGTCAGACTTCTGAATAAAACCTGAACTTAATGTTGTGGGGGGCGCGTGTGCCCCCTTTTTCCAGGGCTGAGAACTCTGTGTTTCGCCGTGGCTGAGATTTCAGAGAGCGACTTTCAAGAGTGGCGAGCAGTCTACCAGCGCGCGTCCACGTCTGTGCAGAACAGGCTGCTGAAACTGGAAGAGAGCTACGAGTTAATCGAAAAGGTACGTGGAAGACTGGCCCCTACAGAAAGCTCGTTCCCAGAGAACTTCAGTCTGAACTTACAAGCCAGTAAAATAAAAATCAAAATATCTTGACACGCTACAAACTGTTGAATCTTCTCCAATCTAAGCATTGAAAAATCTTAATACCGGTTAAAATTTTTGCTGGAAAGTCTCTGGAATTACTCTGTATAGGTCTTCAGTCTCATTGCAGTAACGGATCAAAGTTGGGCTAGTCTAGTAGTGTCCTTGTCAACGTCTTCTACTGCTTCTGCATTGTTGAGGATAGTCATGCCCCCTCCCCACACACAAGCATGCATGTGTACTTATAGTAATAAAGGTGTATAATATGTCATACAAAACAATATGAGAGGTACACAGCTTGTGTGACTCTGTAGCCCATAATAAAGAATATATAAGTGGACAGTCCAGGGCTTATACCTGGCCAGTCATTGTTCACTTAGATACATTATTTCTGCCACAAATATAAATATCCTCATTTTACTGATAAAGAAACCAAGGCTCTTCAGCCAAAAAGTGATGGATACCCTATGACTGATGCTGCACAAGCAGCGAGAAATCTTGCTTCCTGAATCAAGAGGAGCAAACATTTTTACATTGTACTTACCGTGTGCCAGATGCTGTTTGCAGCCTTTGAGTCTATTAACCTATTTAATCTTCACAGCATCCTTTTGAGGTAAGTACTGTTAATCATCCCAACCGTACAGATGAAGAAACCGAGGCACCAGAGAGGTTGAGTAATTTGGCTGAGATGGCTCAGCTCATAAGAGGGTGAGCCGAAGTTCTCCCTCTGGCTCCAGAGTTCACGCTGTTAGCCACTCAGGTGTGTTTATTCTAACCTTTAATTTTCCATTAAACGACTTCCTAGTTATATAATTCCTTCAACTCTCCTCGTGCCTGTAAGACAGAGTCAGGCTTGCCTGTGAGCTGCAGCGTACTTGATCTTGCCTTCGGGGAGTAAAGGCTGCTGTGTTTTCCCTTCTTCCTCTCTCTCTCGGTGTCCTTCTGGGTGCTTCCTGTCATGAGTGCTAGCCGCACCACTGCTGCCCCCCTGGGTTTTGTCCTCTGTCCTCTCCCCACATGCCTCCCCACCATGTGGTACCTGCTCCGGCTGTAGGGGCTCTTCTCTGCAGTGCGATTGCCACATGTGACCATAGACCCTGTGCTCCTGTCTCCTCAGTAGACTGAGATCACTTTAGAGGCTGGTGTGTTTCTCATCCCTCCCTTACATGTGAACTTATTTTTGCATCCTGCTGATTGCACAGAAGGCTTGGCATAGCGTGGATGGAACCTTCCAGCTTGATAACCACCCCACCCCCGCCGCCGCCACCAGCAATTTGAAATGTGCACACTCAGCTGGAGGAGACTTGTCATCAGTCAGCTCACTGAATTTCTCTCTTTTCTAACATAACGTATATATGATTATGCCTTGGGGTGCTGTGTGGTAAAATAAAATGACATTTTATTTATGAGGCCATGATCATAATCTCTCTCAGTATCTCCAACCAAAGTTATATGTTGTTCTGAAGCTCCGATGGTACTGATTTTTAATCTTTGGCTTCTCTTACATTTTTGAGAAGTCTAAAACAAAAATTTCCCTGTTAGAGATTTACTCTTTTTCTCCTGTCTCCTTTCCTACACAGCCTGAATATAATAATAATAGAATATTAATTCTAGCATTTACCCCGTGGCAATGATAGAATTAATGTATAATAGCTGACAATAAAAATATTTTAAAATGGATTCTAACCATTAAATTTTGTTTCTACTTGAAGCGCACTATAGCAACTCCCAGAGTTGAATGTTTAATGTACCAAACATTTTTACTGACTATCCTAGAGTTTATAGGTTCGATTTTATAAGTTTAGCAGTTGGTGTGTGTACGTGCGTGTGATACCTGTAACTAATTTTGACGTCGTCTCTTAACTAAAACAGATGTTCATCCTTTCATCAGCAGATGGCGATCGTGAGTCGCACTGAAATTTAAATTGCCTGGGGAAATCCATTACATGTATATGTATATTTTTAGCTTACAGATACAGAAGCCTCCCTTACAACTGCCTCTTTACCTAAAATAAATGGAAAACAGAATTTGTAGCTAATTCCTCTACACTTTGTGATAAGCCATGCTCTCTTTTATTGAAAAATCAGGAAAGTGAAGAGATTGGTTCCCCTGTTCAGCCAGCTTACTCCGAATAATGTCTGGTTTTTCTGTGTCCATCCCTACTTCTGAAACCATAGCTTCTTCCAGTTATTAACTTAATTAGCTTTCACTAGGTGGTTAATAGATGCGAGATATCAGGGATGCACAACCGAGTAAGGAATACTTGGCCGTGGCCCTCTGAGTCTCGTGGTCTGAACTAGCTCCTGCAGGAAACCTGGAGGGGTGACCCGCAAACTTGGTCCAAAGGAAGCTTTGGAGAGGTGGTAACTTTTGAAAGGAGCCTCAAAATACCATTTTACCAGTTAGAGAGGAGGGACCTCTTTAAAGAAAAAGAATAAGGCACAGTGACAAGGAGGGGGTCTCTGCAACTAAAAGCTGCTTTTCTGAAAAAGATCTTCCCAACTCTGATCATTTGAGGACTGTAGGGTTTTAATATGTCTGGAGCCAGGGTGAGATCTCTTCCCCCTTGGTCTGAGCTTCCACTCTTTGTTGAGATCAGCTGGGGTTAGCGTGCAGGAGGAGTTGGGGCTGACGGTTCTCACACATCCTAGTGAGGCAGGTGTCAACGTGTCAGAGCGCAGATTCTGCGGGTGTGTCACGCTGGCTTTAAATTCTGCTGTCATAGTCCTGGGCTCATCCGTTTTGCCTTCTTTCTTGACCACGCTAAGTGAGCGTTGTTTATTACGTAATCTGTTTCTTATGTGATTGGGATCTATTTTTATATAGATGTTGGTCTTAACCGTGTAAGATAGTGACTCAAACTGTGAGAGAGGTTTTCAGAGTAAAACCCATTTTCCAAACTTAATATTGCCTAAATATTTTTTATATATATATATATATATATATATATATATATATATATAATATAAAAAAGCAGAGCTGCTCTGGTTAACAGTGGAAGGGTAGGGAGAAGCCCCTACTGGACTCTCCCCTCCAACCCTGCCTTGCCCTCTCATGGTCCATGAGGAACCTCTAAGGGCCCTGGGGCTCCACGGAGCAATTGGAAAAACTAGACAATATTCCACCTGTGTGTGAAATTTTTGGAAAACATGCTTCTCAAAATTACTATAGATATCTTTCCTCCCCTTTCAACGAAAGTTCTGAACATCCTTGTGGTCACATACAAGGTATTTCTGGACACATATTTGAATTAATGATGCGAAATGCCATTGACATGTTAACGGTAGCACTACATTAGAGACATTCAAGATATGAAAGATTTGTAGAGCTTTTTCTGAAAATAATGTATTCTTAATATGTTATAAAATAAGTGAACATTTTATAATATGATTAAGGCTCCACTTTTAAACCCTGCTCTCTGTCTTATCCCTCCAGTGTTTGTTCAAACAAGTCATTAAGTTTTGGAAATTTAGTTAAAGCCCTGTTCCTCTGGGGGCTGTAACTCCTAGCCTAAGCTGAAAAAAATACCCAAATAGGCCAAGAACATCCAAGAAGATAATGACATCTGTCCCTTGGTGTAGTGCTTTGCTGCTCGACCCAGCACGTCTGAGACTAGAATGCCCTCCCTTCACCTCCAGGGCACACTGAAGGAGAGAGGATGCGGAAGGTTTGAAACAAGTGCTCCGGATAGGGTTATCCCTAGGGACAGTCAAATGAGAGGAGATAGGACTTTTACATCCATCTGTAAAATACCTTCAACATCTCTGCTACAAGGAGGTACAGTGTGGGCTCCAAACACTTGCATTCAGATGGTAAACTTTTAAGGATTTAAAAAAATTAATTTTAATGCTATGAGTTGTGTCAGGATGTTCCTGAAACATCTTTTTTCTGTTAGTAAATAAAGGTCAAGGTGACATTTATTACCAGGAAGCCCAAGTCATTCAGGAATAAGAAGGCTCACATAGATAAAATGCAAAAGTTAAAATAAGAATCACATTAGGTACTTGAGGTGTCTTGACCTGTTTTGAGAAGGAGAATTGTAGCCTCTCTTGGGCTGTGTGGACAGTGACACCTCCTCGTCTCTCTTTGTCACCACTTGAGAGAAGTTACAGTTGTCTCATCCATACAGACAAGACACTTGCCCTGTCTTACCTGTAACCTCGTTCTTTTGAAAGATAGTGTGTTTGGACCTGCAATTTTAGACAAGGAAACCGCTTTCACTGTTGGTCTATGTTTTTTAAATATGAGGTTTATTTTTTAAATTAAGAATTTATTGATTTGTATTTGAGCAGGAAAAAGCTGCAAATAAGTAACAGAATAAGTATGAAGCTTTATCCTTCATTAGAAGTAGTTTCTCTGAAATTTCTCACCTTCTTTGATCTGCCACTTTCTATTTATTTTTAAGACACAAATTTTTTTGCTGCTGGGTTCCTTTGTAAATTAGTGGTGCAGAGGGCTCTGATCTTACTTATCAGGGAAGATTTTATAATTAAACCATGGTGTGAAATATAAAGGTATGCCTTCCTGGTAAATAGAGCTTTTGAAAAATTTTTGTATTTATTTGCCTCAATAGGAAAACACAATTATGTCTTTAGCATTGCATAAATTACCTTTTAATCATTTCTGATGTTAATAAAAGCAAATTATCTTGAGCATTGAGAATATAGAGAGATATGGTACCTGTCTAGATTGGGCAGTGATCAAAGCAGTATTTCTCTGGTGATAAAATTGTTCTTCTCTTCTTATTATGAGGCATAGATTGCAAAATATGCTTTTTAAAAAATGAAAACCAATACTTTTATCTATTAAAAAAATTTTTTAATAAATTACAGGTCAGAGAGGATCACATTTGAGCTTAAGAATAATCAGAAAGCTGTAATTTTGGCAGCATCTGGCTCCCCTTTGTATCCCTTTTGTT